GAGCCCCATGTCTCTGCTTACACGACACAATGTTTTTGCCCCAATGTGCATGTGTGTGTATATAGAGCGAGCCCTCTACAAAAACATTGTCGTGTTTTGCAGCGCGCCATGTTCCCATACGCCGTCAGACATCCGCTGAATACCGTAATCCGCTTCGCTTCCCAAAGATAGCTTGCTTGTGCTATTTCTTTTGCAAGTTTCATGTGAAAAGTTTTGTTGAAAATAGAAGTTTTGAACTTCTATAGAGTTCCCTTTTTTCTCCTCGTGCACCATAGATAGCCCAGAACTCGTCAAGGCCATTTTGGCCAGTAATTATGCATCGTAAAGAAAGCAGCGGTCGATTCTGGTTCGACATTTCGACCAACAATGAGACCTCAGAAACAAAAACGCACTTCCCTAAAATGACCCCGACTCGTTTCAGGACCTCAAACCCGAAATGATGCCTGTTGGAGGTGGACCAATACCAAGTTTCGTATTCGACGTGATGAACCCGTACCATCCCTATGCGGCTGGCCTAGACGGTGCTCGACGCAAAAATGCGACCCGTGAGACGACGGCACCGTTGAAAGCGTGGCTGACCGATCATCGAAAAAATCCCTATCCGACCAAGGGCGAAAAGGTCATGCTTGCTGTGATGACGAAAATGACACTTACACAGGTACGGTAATTACGATCTGGTCATGATTTGGATGTAAAATTGGGTGTATTTGATGAAAAATTACGCGAAGAATGAATCAGTGGCGGGTCTTAGCTGAATAAATGGTTATAAAAAATAATGGGGGAATTTTTTTCGGGGAAATTTTACTAATCACTACATGTGTCTATTTGTCAAATAAGCAATTAGGTTAGTAGCGCCTATAACATTGCCTAAAAAACTTTTTTCTGAGTCAGGAATCGAGTTTCTGACTCATTTGGGGCCCTGCTAGATCATGCTTCTAAAAACTTCAAGCCCTCCCCAATTATCCCCATAAAATTCGCCTTTCTACGACCAATCCCAAATCGATAGCCATAAATTTGGAACACTAGTAACTTGTTTCTCTTATTTGACGTGTAATTCATTTGCTCTACACCTTGCTGGACATAAATCTTTCAGTACAAATAAGTGAAAACGAGTTTCTCCACCTAATAAATGACACCTGTGAACAAATTGAAAAAACGCGTTTTCACGGACAACTCTGACCTTTGTGAGAGCGATATACGTTGCAAGATCATGATTTATAGAGTGTTACGGAAATGAGAAGTAAGGGAAAAAAGTGCTGGTGATTTTCATACGTGCAAAAGGGTTTCGAAGAAATTTTTCAGTA